CAACTGTGGGCACACACCCCTACCTCAAAATTGAACGCTCCAGAAGAGAATCAACACCATGGTCGGGCTAGGGCATGCCATCAAGGCATGCCATCAAGGCATGGCACAGCTTTCGCGGCCAAAAGTGTAGACAAGGCATAAGGCATGGGCGCATAAGGCATGGGCGCATAAGGCATGGGCGTGTCCAAACAGAGAACCCCCCCAAAAATATATATATATATACATATACATACATATTATATATATATGTATATATTGTGGTTTTGCGGTTGGTGTCCCTTTGACTCTAAGCCAGCTGAGCAAGGATACCTTTAGAAAACAGAAACACACGCACCCATATACCCCCTTTACCGTTACCCCTTTGCAAAAAATGGTCGAGATATATCAAAATGGTCACACAATCAATGCACCATTTGGTATCCACTTGTGCACGGTTGAGCCCCCAAAATAATTCAAGTAAAGGGATCCGATCAAATGGGCAAGTGCAAGTTCGTTCTGCCCCCGTTCAGTGAATCTATGCTTTGGGAGTTAAGGGGTTGACCATTTTCACTGGGAAACGCCGAGCACAAAGGGGAAGGGGATGTAAAACTCACTGGACCGTACCTCACCCATCCATGCATCCATGCATCCATGCATCCATCCATCCATCCAAGCATCCATGCATCCATGCATCCATGCATCCATGCATCCATGCATCCATGCATGCATGCATCCATGCATCCCTGCATCCCTGCATCCCTGCATCCCTGCATCCCTGCATCCGTGCATCCCTGCATCCGTGCATCCGTGCATCCGTGCATCCGTGCATCCGCGCATCCGTGCATCCGTGCATCCCTGCATCCGTGCATCCGTGCATCCGTGGATGCGTGCATCCGTGCATCCGTGCATCCGTGCATCCGTACATCCGTGCATCCATGCATCCATGCATCCATGCATCCATGCATCCACGCATCCACGCATCCACGCATCCACGCATCCATGCACCCAGGCAGCCAGGCAGCCATGCTCCCATGCATCCATGCATCCATGCATCCATGCATCCATGCATCCATGCATCCATCCATGCATCCATGCATGCATGCATGCATCCATGCATCCATGCATCCATGCATCCATGCATCCATGCATCCATGCATCCATGCATCCATGCATCCTTGCATCCTTGCATCCTTGCATCCTTGCATCCATCCATCCATCCATCCATCCATCCATCCATCCATCCATCCATCCATCCATCCATCCATCCATCCATACATCCAGGGGCCCTTAGATTAATCCACGGGAAACCCCTTGCAACCTGAACCGCCCATGCCCATTCAACTGACCAAGCGGCCCGTTGCTCGGAAAGCAGCAGCTGGGCGGCTGCCCGCTGCCTCGGTCAACTGTTTTTCCAGCACTCAGGGCAATGTTTGATTCTAGTTCCTCCAGTAGAGAGGTTAGACTAAGAGTACCAACTTCTTTTTCTGTAGCCTATTTCTGTAGGGGGACCCTCCCCCCAAAAAAGTTGGTGAAAGGGCACTGCTGGGTTCCCTCTACTTCCCTCTACTTCCCCAAGCCTCAATGTACATTCCACGGCGATCGAAACCATCCTAGGGTAAGTCAGGAACCCTGACACATATGCCAACACACATGTGGAAAACTGGGGGGGTTATAGTTCCCACGAAAGGCAAACAGTGAAACATGTTCGGGCAATATGGCGATGACTCATTTAGTAGGGAGCCACCTCAAAATTGGTTGGACATACCACCGAACGGTCTTTAATAGAAAATCAAGCCCACAGCTTGGCTTGAAGGAAGCCAACCGGAAAGCGCGGAAGATTACCCCTATGTCAAGACCAGGCCCACATAGGGGAACACAATCTTTGAAGCACAAAGGGATTTGGAGGGACCGCCGCTGACCCGGTTGGGAGCATAGGTGTCCTTTTTGGAAAATAGATGGCCCTGGTAGATGATGGAGCCACCAGGTAAACCAGGAACTGCCTTCTCTTTTTGAAGCAAAAAAGGACCAAAAAGGGCCACCTATGGTTGGGACCAAGCGGTGCCAAAGCCTCTCTCGCGCGAAACGCGTCCCAGGTGCGCCGCCCTGGCCGCCGCCTTGGTCTGGCGGAAGCCCACGGCGCCGCCCTCCTCGGCGCCCAGCGCGGCGCCCAGCCCCGCGGCGGCGGCGGCCAAGAGGGCGCTGTCCTGGCGACCGGACCCACCCCAAGCTGGTGAGGCCTTCAGACCAATGGGCTGCTTGGTAAAATTTTGTGGGTATACATAAAACCAGAGCAAACTTGCGGGTTAGGGAATCCTCTAAAAGAGCTGGTGTTTTGGGTGGGCCTCAAGGGGAACCCTTGCATGGCTTCTTGGAAACTTGGCCCCAATAAACATGGACCAAATCAGAGAAACCCAAAGGTCAAAAGGTCGGCTTTGAAAAACTGAGCTGTTGCCTCACAATGATATTGATCTTCCCACAGTCCATTTTGGCCCAAGACGTATTCTACCCAGTACCGCCGGCGTAGATACAAAAAGGCTTTTGCGTGTGCCCCTTACAATTTATACAGAAAGGACAGCTACCAGGGAATGAGGGAACGGCCCCTTGTGGCTTCCTTTCAGGGAATCCCCTCCGGTTCATTCCCAAAACCCGGAAAGTCATTCCTTACTGAGTACAAGTAAGTAAAGGAATGACCCACTGTATGCAGCTTTTATAGGGATCCAACAAAAGCTTTATGCCCAAAAACCACTCACTTTTTGTGTGTTTCAAAGAACCCTTATGCTACCCACAGCGAACCCCACAAAATGGCTGCCTGCCAGAGTTGATTGACCACAGAGACTCCAAATTAGTACTAAGTATGTCTTGTCCAGGAACTCAAGGAGTGAGGAAAGTTTCAAAGGTTTGGGGAACAACTGTGTGCCTAAACTACCAGGGCTTGTTTACAGGGGTTATCCTACCATGTCCTGTTTCGCTTCTTGTTTGCGTACCCTCTTTGGGTTTAAAACGGAAACCACGTGGGTTTTCCGATTCTTGTGAGCTGTTTGAGACTTGCAGGTTCCTAGCAGGGGGAGGAAAAGTAGTTGGTACTTTGTTGGTGGACAATATAATAAGGGTCTATATCATTACGGTCTACTTCATTTTCTTATGATTGTGGCACCTCCACAATCTGCTGTATTTGTTCGGCCCCTTATACTAGCAATTGCGTCTCCTTAGCTCCCCATAAAGTGAGTGTCCTTGGCATCACAGAAGTTGGCCCTAGAATCCACCAATGTCTTGGTCAGACCGATCTGAACCCTTGCAACAAACATAACGGTTGCCTGTCAAAAAGAGAACCGAAGGAACAACAAATAGGCAACAAATAGCAAAAGTAAATATCGTCCAGCCACAGTTGACCACAAATCCCCAATTTCAAATTTGTCACCCCCTCCGGCCCAAACTAGGAAATCGCACCATCCAGTCTGGCAGGGATCTCGAGACTGCATTGGCGCGAAGCAGGGCTTTGCAAACCTCTGCTGAGACATTAACCCATTGAGGCTTTGTTTGACCCTAATTTGCCTAAATAGGACCCCTAACCTTTGAGTGGGTGGTAGGGTCCCTGGTTTTTCCCCAAGCCACTGGCCACTTCCGGGATCAGGGAGGCACAAGACTTCAAAAAAGCTGGCTTAAAGCGATTTGAGAACCAGCTAAAAGGTCCCCTTTCAGCCCTTGAATGCACTAGGGAATTTCTGGAAGCGGGGATGGAGGATTTCCTGCAAAAATTGATGTTGATGCTTGTCAGCAAACTTTAAAAAATGACACAACAATTCCTACCGGAATTGTTGGATCACCCAAGAAAAGCACTTACATTGGTAGTGAGCTCGTCTTCCCCCAGTCGATGAGCTCGCCATAGATAGGCAGACTATTGCGGACTAGACTGGCGACTTCGCATATTAGGGACTTCCCAAGCCTTGCTACGATAGCAAAAGAGTGTGTCTGTTGCCGCCGCCTCCTCCCTACAAAAAAGACAAAAAAAAGCTAAAATACATGCCAAGAAAATGGGGAAGAGGACCCGAGCTTTTGCACAACTCGGTTCCCACCTCCTTGGGCAACTTGTTGGTGGCCACCAGCACTGCCGACATGGCCAGGTCCGCCATCTCCTGCGCGTTCATGAAGAAGATCCTGGTGGAGTATCCAGTGGAAGCACGTGAGGCACGTCAGGACACTCAAAATGATGCTAAACATGGGAAATCACCCCATTATGTTAGGGCAGTATCCTTTTTTTTTTAATGAGTAGTGTGAGAGTCAGCGGTCAACATCACCAAGCGTTCCACCAGGGCATGGACAACTCAGCAAGCCCGCTGGTTGTGGCAAATGTGCCTAATGAACCATATACAAATCAGTTGACAAAGCCTATACCCCTTGTCCATACCCTTTGGCTCCCTGGTCGCCAATCCACTTTGCCACGGGTACATATCCCTTTTGGAAGAGGGGTATGAAGAACAGCAAGCCTGGCGTCATTTCCCCAAAAGCGCATATGAAAGGGGTATCTACAAGCATTACAGAAGATAGCTAAGTTCAATTGTTCCAAACAATTTGCCTCGAAACTTGCAGCAAGACGTGCCCCAATATGTCACAATCAAAGCCCGTTTTCATCAAAGGGCCCTAGCCAAGCGGGCCCGGAATGGCCCGGAACTTCCAGGTTCCAAGCCGCTCGGGGCAAGTGATGCAAATGAGTCACAATCAAAACCTCGCCTTCAAGAAGTGACTCGATATGCCGCTTGTTGTGGAGAATCAAGGGTCAACTCAGCAGAAAGGTAAACTTTGAACATCTCAGCTGCCCAAAGGACCCCCAAAAAACAAGCTTGTTGACCTTTTGGGGCCACTCAAAATGGAACAAAAACGGTGAACTAGAAGGGCAACAGGTCGATTTTGCTTTAGGCAAGTGAGGAAGAGGACTCCCTGATCAATAAACTCCTGGTTGATTGATAAACCCGATGTCTCGTTTCAGTGGGGCATCCCTTTTGCGGACAGCTTTAGGCAAGTGGGTGTGGGTCAAAGATAGATTCTGAAAATGGACTGGTAAATGCAAACATGCACGAAAACCTGCAGTGAAAATCCTGGCGGTGACTAATTTTGCCACCCAAGTGAGACATCAGGTGCCTAGACTGGATGCTCAACCTGGGAGTGGCTTTTTTAAAGGGTACCCCTTTTTTGTGGTCTTCCTTTTGGTGTCCAACCATGGAAAACCCACAATTTTGTGCATTGTTTGTGCTTTCCTAGAGAAACCAAAGGGAAAACCCACCAATTTGTGGGTCCTCGCAAAAACAAATGACAAACCCACCTTTGGTGGTTGCCCCGGACGCGTTCCTGCCAGCGGTCACAGCCGCGCCCGCGGCGGCGTGCACCGCCACGGGCTCCAGCTGCTTCAAGGTGAAGCCCAGCCTGTGGCTTGGGCCGCGAGCGAAAGGGCCAAAACCAGGATCGACGGATCGAAGCCAGAAAGAAATTCTTGCTCGGTTGCGAAATCTGCGAAGCCCTGCTACAAGTGTTAAACACTTTTAGTGGTTTAAACGAAGGCCCGTTAGTTGGCAGAAAGTTAGAGTCCTAACATCTAAGCAAAATGCACCTCTGGAAAGAGAAGGGCCTTTAGTCCCTTTGGATGAGCCATGGCTATGAGGGGGCTGTCCACAGGAGGAGCTTTCAAGAGGAGAAAGGCGTCTAAGACACGCACCCCAAGACAACGTCCTGGAAATTATCAGCATCTGCTGCTTTTGTGAGCATTTGGATGATCAACATACTTGAGTAGGTTCATTCCATAGTTCTAAGGGGACTAATTCCTGACATCCACTGAGCCTGTTGCTTTGCCATCGCAGGCACGCTCGAAGTGGCAAAGGAAACCAACCCCGGTTTCTGACTTTCTCCGCTTCCAGCAACAGACACCATGACAGCATTGCCGCCATTGCCCCAAAACGACTTGACTTGCGGCCGGGAAACCAGGCACGCTCACAAGGTCTGAGGACAAGGATCCAAACCAATGAGCCACAAGGCCCTGAACTGAACCTGGTCTCTGGGCCCAGCTCCGGGGGGCAATTTTCTAAGTGGATGGTCAGATGGCCCTTGGAGTTTATCGAACACGTGGAGTGAACTTGGGGACCCAAGTTTGCCTTTTGTCCTACATCAGAATCCCGCCCTAGAAAATTCCTCAGAAGCTTTGTAAAAGGGGCTCTTGAACGGGGGGGCCTTATTGTTGAGCAAGAATTTCCCGTGAACCATGTTGGGGCTCTCACTTGCTCATAGAACTCCAAAGATGGTTTGCGATGACGCGCCTAAGTTCGCACGGGTCTGGTCCAGTGACAAGTAAGGATATTCCAGGTGGAGAACGTAAACGGCAAATTGCCAGGTCTCTCCCCCGAAGTGTTTTGGCGCAAACAATATATGAATTTGTGCCGGTTCCGCTGGCTGGGGCAGTAAACATCCTTGGTGATCCATCGATTCTTGAGGAACTGTGGCATTTGTAAGGGGTAACCTCAGCGGAACCACGTGCACACGTCATGAGTTTGGGGTCCCATCCATGTCCATCCAAGGCTCAGGCAAAAGGGCGACAGTCTAGGCGGCAAGGGACCTGTTAGACACTGGAAGGACTCAAGGCCTTCCCGGAAAACCGCTTCAGCCGGATTTGGCCGAATCAAGAAAATCTTCACCTGGGTAGCTAGGTCCTCCAGTAGAGAGGTAGGGTAACCTTTTTTCTGTAGTCTACTTTAGTAGGAGAACCCTCCCCCAAAGAAGTTGGCAAAAGGGCGCTACTGGGGGACCTAGGTAGGGTATGAGACATCTTGGCAGGGAAGTGCCAGGAATGCCAGGAAAGGGGGCCATGAGCCTTGCGCTGGTGCCCTCCCCGAATCGCCGAGAGAGCAACTGATGGGCTGCCCTGAGCGCGGCCATAGTGGCGTCCTCAGGGGCGAAGCTGGGAAACCAGGTTCCATGTGAAAACTCGGTTGCTTTCTGCTCCCCTGCTAAAAGTTTAACTTTTAGTGGTTTAATCGAAAACCCATTAGCTGGCAAAAAGTTAAAGTCCTAACATCCAAGCAAAATGCACCAAAGAAAACCTTGGGGGGCGTAACGGGGTCCTTTTACGGGAAATAGATGGCCCTGGTAGATGTTAAACCACCAGGTAAACCAGGAATCGCCCTCTATTTTTCTACCAAAACCACCAAAAAGGACACCTATGCTTGAGGGGCGTACCTAACAAACATCTCAGCAGAAGGACCTCCACATGGCAAAGGGTCAAAAGCCCGTACCCCCAGTGAACATCCCAATCCCCGCTACAATAGGTTCTGAAATGAATTCACCTACCCCAAAATGGTACCATTGGGTTTGACCCACCGCCACATGTTTATGGCCCCGAAGCCTTTTGGGTAACCGCCCACTCCTCCGCCATGGGCTTGGGCCCATCGTGGGCATCGAACTTGGGCAAGGCTTCACCCACCTCGAGGCCCATCACCACCTCGGATTTCGGATGGGAGCGCTCGGCAAAAAGTGTGCGGTGGCCAAAAAACAGACCATGCTGTTGGAATCCATGGTTCGGGTTGCTTGTCGAGCCGATTAAACGTGCCATGGTGCCTTTGCTTTTTGGGCGGACTAGAGCTAGTCCTGTGGTATTCTTAGCGTGGCAAATCCTGTGGTTTGCCCAGGAGCTGTCCTTTTCTCCACAGAACTAAATGTCCAGCGGGAAGAATCACGTCGGCACTCTTTAGACTCTTTTGGGCAGCTGACTTTAAAGGGAACCCCCACCCCTCCAAAAAGACAAACGGGCACCACTGGAGGTCTTTTTCGAGGCGGTTCTCTCTGGGCTTCTTGAGTGGTTCCCTTTGTTTCAGTTGAAACTGGCATGCTCAAGTATGGACGTTGAAGGTACGGATGCTTGTACGCCACCGTTACAGGCTTGCTAGTAAGGCAGTACCCCTGACATAAAGTATATATATATATATTATGTGTAACCTCCATACTTCAACACTTGAACATGTCCTTGTAACTGGGAGTGTTGTTCGTTAAATGGTATGCTTCAATGACAGTTCAGGGGGAAACCGGCGAGTTTCAAACTTAGGCAAAAAGTAATACAAAAAGGGGAACCCCCCCAAAATCAGCTTACCGTACCAGCACCCCCGAACGACTGGTACTCTCTTGTTTTCTCATGTTCGAAACCCCAAGTACTCTCCAACACGCAGTCATGGGGAGGATTGTCTTCGTTGGTTCCGCGTTGACCCGCAGGAGGGCTATAAGTCACCAACCTGAATTAAGAAACTTCCAAGCCCAGCTTTCCCTCGAGGTGAGCTTGATATAGTCAGCGCAGATCTCATGCGAGCCTGTATCAAATTCCTGTTGAGACCGTGCTCCTGAACAAAACCTCTGGGAAAATGAACGACACATCCGATCGTCCCATGCCGGTTTCATATAGGTGTTCTTCTCAAGATGGGGTACCCTCAAGAGGACGGGTTCCACTGGAATCCAGGGGCACGCCCTACTGTGGATGGACAAAATCCTCCACCACTTTGAAACCATGTAAAACCATAACGTTTGTTGGTATTTACAGGGGAATCGAATCATTCTAGGGCTTCTTGGGTTGTGCGAAATGGATTTCGCAACCATCCACAGTAGCAGGACGGGTTCCAGGTGAGATCCATCGTTCATTTCAACCATCGTTCTTTTCAAACACCGGCAGTTTCCCCTGGGTTTTTGATGGTTTCTTAAAGATGAATCCCTGGAAAGAATGGAAATGGAAGCTACCACTATCCAGGGATCCGACTCTTTCTAGAAAACCACCAAAAACCCAGGGAAACAGATCCGGTTGTTGAAAAAATGCCGGCTAAATGGCTGGAAGTTACCCCTAGACCTCTTGGCTGGAATTAGGACCCCAGCCTTTTTTTTTGAATTATATTTTTTTGCCTGGTTACTGGAAAACACAGGGAACCCCCAAAAAAACAAAACAAAGAAGAAGAAACAGAACAAACAACTAACGCCCCCCCCCCAAAAAAAAAAAAAGCAAAACTAAAAAAAACAGAGGGGAACGAATTCTGGGGACGACTTTTGATCCCAAGGCGCCGCCATCTCCTCGGGGCTCATGCCGGCCAGCTGAGCCGCGCGCCCCGCCAGCTGCGCGATCAAGCTGATCTTCACCACCGCCTCGAAGGAAACGCGCAAGGCATCCAGCACCCGACCCCAAAAAAGCAGCTTGGCGTGTTAAAGTGGGAGAAGCTAGGCAAGTGGTGTATCTCTTTCTTTTAAGAAAAACATATCTTTTTGAAATCTTCCTTAGACATGTTTTGACTTTAAATAAAAAGAGCAGTCTCCGCCTTCGAACTTTTGTTGTTCTTTTGGTAGGTTGTATCGAACATGGAAGGGCTCGCCCCGCTAAAGAAAGGTTTCTACACTTTGAGCCCAGGGCCATTCTGAAAATTAGGGCTAAGTGGTGGTTCAAAAGGAAACCCACCCCCAAAGGATTGTTTACGAGCCCGTCGGAATGTTCCCATGTGAATTGCCCTGAAACCCACCCAGAACAGAAGGTTTCCTACCTAAACTTTTATGGCAAGTGTCTAGTGTCCTGTGTTTTCCTCACTTTCTGAGTCGCTTGGCCGTTTGCCGCAAAAGCCGTCTTTCCCAAAAGTACGGGGTGTGAGACTCCGTGAGCCAGTGCTACCATTTACTTGTGTGCTGGGATGCACTGAGAATACATGTGCCGAATTACAAGTGAACTTATATCTGTGAAATCACAAACAAATATACACAAAACAAGTACACATTCGTTGAACACCGTCTGCAAACTTTACGAGATTTGCAAAGCGTTTAAGGAATCTCCAAGTCAAGGAGCTTTATCCTAGCTTTTGTTCGTTTTATTAACTGAATCGGCGAGCTCGCTATAAAACAAAATCTTTCAAATAGTGAAGTCATTTTCCAAAAACATCCTCCAAAAGGGCTTGCTGGCAGTAGCACCCAGTAACCATCCGCCAGACCCCCCGTGGCCATAGGGAAACAACGGCACTCTTTTCGGCAGTTGATTTTACAATTCTACAGGGAAACCCTCCTTCAAAGACAAATGAGACCAAAGGAACCCCCCCCTAAAGAAAAAACAGTTGGAGAAAGGGCACCAGCAGAGGGGGGGTCACGGGCCCCCCAAAATCCCGTTGCCCAGTGAGGGACCCCCCGCCCCACCGCCCTGTCTGGGATCCCCTCCCCCCCTCAAAAAACCAGACCAGAGGTCTGGGATCCTCCCCGCTTCAAGCCGCCTGCTGCCGCGTCAGCTTGCCCCCGCTCCCTGTCGCCGCTTTGGCCGCCGCCAGCTGCGCTTCCTTCGGCACCACCAGCGACGCCGCCTCCGCGGCCGCGGCGGCCGCCGCCGCGGCGCCCGCCTCGCCGTGCCCGGCGGCCGCCAGGGCCGCCTCGCAGGGTGGGGTGGGGGGGCATGGAGGCTCGGAGGCTCGGAATATGTTGCAGGGCTACTTTTCTACAATTTCACCTGGAACCAAAAAAAGGAAGGGCTGCCAAAAGGGGACATCCTCTGCCAATATCCACAAGATTTTCATTGTTGGGTTTGGGTGAGTCAATTCCCTAAACCCCTGGCCACTGCGTGGCCCACTATATGAGGGGTATAGGGGGTACTGCCAATCATCTCAGAGTCAAACGGGGTGAGGTCCAACCAGCTGAAGTTGACGGATCGCCCTGTCCCATCTCGTGGTTGACGTTGGAAGGGGAGCAAAAATTCAAATTGTAGCAGTTCAGTGGTTGGATTCTGACCACTAAACCACAATAAGCAAAAATGTAGAATGTTTCCCAACAACAACCATAACCTCCCCCAAAAAAGGGAAAAGAACAGAAAAAACATGACACCAGCGTCCTGTCCCATCTGCCTCTTTGGCCTCCTCCAGCAGATTCGCCGAGGGCTTCGCCAGCGCCAGCGCCAGCGCCGCCGCCTGCGCCCCCGCCGCCGCCACATCGCCGCCTTTCAGCCCGAGCCGCGCCGCCGCCGCCTTGGCGTGGAGCGCCGCCGCCTGCCAAATGGCGGTGGGCGCCTCGCCTGGCGCCAGGGGTGTCGTGGAAAAACTGGGTCCACGGTGTCTACCTAAGCTGTCCTGTTTCTTTTTTGGTGGGCGCGGAAAAAAAACGTCTACATCCTGAGCCTCTTGTTTTTTCGTTGGGGGGGGGGGCTTTTGGGGGGATTGGAAGGGCAACAGAAAGCCACTGATTCTACTTTTGGGGGGCTTGGAGCCCCAATTTCGGCATTCATGTTGGTTTCTCTTTTAACCAAGGTGAAAACGGTGACTTCAAAAAACACACACACACACACATCCACATGTGGTGGTTACACACCCCAAATGTCAAACAAATGTGAAAAAATGCAGTCCCGTATGTAGTGATCTGCAGATTTCTTGGGTCCCGGAACTGGTTTGGGGATTGCCCAGCCTCTGATGCCTGATTCTCAGGGCAGCGTTTGGGGGGCTTTGGAAAATACCCTGAGGGTTCCCTGGGAAGCGACAAGGGCTCTTGGAGATCACTCCCTCGCTCTCATTATGAAGGCTCCATTTTGGCGCCTTGCTTTGACGTTCCAAGACGAATCCACAGGCGGATTCGAAGGGGGTTGGGCTGCCCTAGTATCAATGGCCGGGGTCCATCGACATCCTCACAGTTGCCCGAGCGGCGAATGAAATTTGGAGAGCCCCGAACTGCTCACTGCAAGGGACCCAGAGGTTGTTCACTTCAAGAGGCCAAGAAGGAGGAGCACAAAACCACCAGATTCCCACGTATGGAGCCAATCGGCAGCCATGATCAGTATATCAGCCTCCATGCAGTAAACGCCGCGCATGAACGACCGAAGAACATCATGAGTGGCAAGAACCTCCCACTGAAGTAGACAAGCCACTCCCTTTCTTCGCGATCATGATGCTGAACTTTCAGACTTTCATGTTAGCACAGTCTTGCTACTGGCATTGGTCGTCCATAAGCAGCGCCTTAGATACTCTGGATGGTTGCGAAATCCATTTCGCACCACCCAAGAAACCCTAGAATGATTCGATTCCCCTGCAAATACCAACGAACCTTATGGTTTCAACCGTGGTTTCGAAGTGGTGCGAAATGGATTTCGTCCATCCACAGTATGGCCCCCTTTTCATTCACCATGGTGTGTGTGTGTGTGGTTCACTTGCCTCGTCAGCTGGGGCACTCGCAAGTTCCCAACCACTTCGGGTCGTTTCAACCGGTGACATATGGCTGTGGGTAAACAAAAGGTACCCAAAATGGAACCCTGCACATGGAAACACGGTTTAATTTTGACCCATACCCATATGCCCATCTCACTTAAGCAAAACTAGACAATATTTATCACTATCACACGTTGACTTTGAAAGGGATACATGCCTCTCCCCACTAGTCACTAGCCCGAACCAAAGAAATAACAAAACACTGCGTGTTGGTTGATTCACTCCCCTCCATGGAACCTGAAACCCGGTCGCCCACAAGGGCTTCCCAATCCCACGCGAACCCAACGGCGAAAAGGGAAGCTCCAACCAAAGGGAAACGCCCCGACAGGAATCTTAGGAACCAGCTATGTTCCCTTGAGTGCACCCAGCACCCGGGATGTGGAGGAAGAGGGGATGAGGATTCCCGCCCTCCCCGGTTTCAAACTAAGTCTTGTTGACAATCCTCTCATTCGTCTCAAAGTGGACCCTATACATGGTTTCCTTTCGGCCCCTTCGGACAAACCTACAAAAGGTGCACCCTCAACAAAAAGACCACCTAGAGTCTCAATGACCCTTTAAAAATGGAGTCATTACCCTAAATAATGGGGTCAGGTACCTATTTTGAAAGGGTCATGGAGAGTCTAGGCAGTGTCCACCAACATGGCAACTGACCGGGGGTCCCTCCCAAAGGAAATGATTTGATCTTCCAGGTCACCTCCTACAAAGGCCTTCGCATGTCCTTTCAGGGCAAATAATTGGATTTCGCTGAAAGATGATGAAAGTAAACCAGGTAAACCAGGAGTCGCCATCTATTTTTCCGCCAAACCAAAGAAGACACCTACTGTGGATGGACGAAATCCATTTCGCACCACCCAAGAAACCTGCTTCCAGGATTCGATTCCCCTGTTAAATACCAACCAACCTTCTGGTTTCAACCGTGGTTTCAGTTCGTGGTGCGAAATAGATTTCGCAACCATCCACAGTAGGGCGTGCCCCTCCCTCACTTCCCTTCAGCCCCTTCCCTCGAGCTTCCTGTGTCCATGGCGGAGGTGGCGGCTGCCAGCCCTGCAGCGCTGGACGCGCACAGGGCCACAGCTTGGGGCGGCCATTGGTCCTTCAGGACCTGCGAGTCGGGCCACGTTGACTTGCTGGCCAGTTGGGTCGGATGGTCATTTGTTGGAGAGGGACACCCTTGTGATTTGCTGCTGTTGGGTTGGAAGTCTTACGTGTTTTTTCCCTTTGTTTTTCTTCTGTTGTTTTAGTGGTCGCATGTTGAGTTGGAGTGAAGGAAGCGTGTTGCTTCTTTGGCGGTTTCTTGTTGGGTTGTTGTTGCTGGTGCCTGGCAGGACATAAGAAATGGAATGAGCCCGAGAAAAAACTATTCATTTCCGATTTGGTCTCCTTCAAGGGAATCGCCAGGTTCATTCCCTCATTCCCTGCATCAGCAAGTGTTCCTTTGTGTTGTTCTTCTCAATTTCCTGTTTAGGGGTTGCATTTTGAGTTGGAGTTGAGGATTTCCACTAAAAGGCGACACCCTTCCCGATTAATCAACCACAGGTATTAGTCCGGGGTTAACAGTGCGCGAATGAAACCGCCAAAATGGACCAAACAGAGGAAACACAAGGTCAAAAGGGCAAGTCAGTACTGGGGACTCCGTTGTTGAATTTGATTCGGGGGGTGTCCCCTTTGCAGCCTCATCACTTTTGCGGGGTGAGAACCCCCTATGAAAAGGACAACTTTATGAATCCAGGGTCAACATTACAAGAGGAAACTGAATAGTTGCCTATAACTGTAGCTGACTTCCTGAGTTGATTGACCTGCTAGTGGGTTGTTTAAACACATGGGACAGCTGGATATTTCCCACCAAATCCAGGGAAAAACACTCTATCAGACTAATCTGATTGGTTGATTCATACGGGGTCAACATTACCAAAAAACATGGGTCACTTATTCATATGGTTGATTCATATGGGGTCACATTTTTTTACATGGGCCAGCTGGAGAGTTGCCTATACCTAGAGTCTCCATGACCCTTTGAAAATGGGGTCATTAATTACCCCAAATACTGGAGCTCATGGACCCATTTTAGAGTGTCATGGAGACTCCAGGTAACCACTCCAGGTACCTGAATTCTGGTTCCTGTATCCCTGCAAGTTGGTTTCTTTGATAATAGGTTCCACCCGCCTGAACCGACAACTCCCCTCGCCCCCGCCTCCTGCGCCGCCTTTCGCGCCGCCAGCGCCGTGGCCTCGGCGCTGGCGAAGGCCACGGCGCCCCGCCGCGCGGCGGCGGTGCCCGCGGCCAGCGCCACCTCCGGCCGAAGGAAGCGCCCGAAGGCCGGAGCCGTGGATGGATCGGGATCCGTGGATTTGCGGCACCCAAAAAGCCCCGATGTTAAGACGGCAAAAAGAGGGGGGGGTGGAGGTGCCCCATTTTTTTTTCAATTTGTAAGAGGGAAAATGGAATTATGAATGGAATTTATGGGGTCACCCCCATCCTAGAAAAGCTTGAATGATTGGATTCCCCGACGTAAATACCAAGAAGCCATAGTGTCAATGGCTTTGCGAAAGGTGGATGTGTCATGCACATTCTCGAAAATACAACTAAAAGGCTCCCTAAAAAACCTGAAGCCAAGGGTCACGGGCGAATAAGCCAAACTGAAGGGATCACCCTGCAAAAAAACACTTTTGAGCGGCGTGCTTTGTGAGCGCTCTGCATTTCTGGAGACATCTTCTTTTCGGGGCAACGAGTCACTCAAGAAACTGTAACCGGGGGTCAATTCATCGTGATCCAAGCCTTGCTCAGAGAACGAACCCAAAGGCCCCAATTGAAACTACAAGGGAAAGCCTTGGGGTCAATCAACACAGCATCCTCTTGTAAAGAAGCATAACCATACTCCAGCGCTGCCGTAATTCCGGGAATCGGGCCTGAAGTGCGTTTTGAACAAGATACTCGTGTTTTCTTTTTTTTGGGATGGGGGAGACACCTGTAGAGTCAGTCCCTGCGTGAGAACCGCTACCCGAGCAGACCCCAACGGGTCTTGCGCCCAATCGCGCCAACAAGCCACGCTCGAAGCAGCGCCGGCGGCGTCTCCGAGACCCAGCCCGGCTGCGGCGGCCAAAGTGGCGTTGGCGGCCAAAACCGCCACCGCCAAAGGGTCCTTCGGGCAAAACAGCGATTCGCCCAGTGCGTTAACACATGAGCAACTCGATTCCTGAGTGGATTGAAGTCTACCGTGCAGTGACTTTGCTGGGCAATCGTGGCTGCTCCGCTTACGATATATAGCATAATATCCCTGGCTCTCGAATAAACATGGACCAACAACATCCTCAAATAATTTCTCTGGCCAAGTTATTATGATTCCAGAACAGAAAGGTACTAGAAAGGGATCTTCATTGTGGGAGAGTTTGTTTTACCTCTAGGCGACCTCACAAAAACTGGAAGACACCCCTTTTTCCACTTGCTCAGTGGAAGGGACCCCTTCTCTTTGGGGTAGACTCCTTTTTTAGTCAGTCGGGAAACCACTACACAATAGGATAACAAAAGGCAACTGAACAATTAGGACATGCTTGTTTGCTTTCGGTATCTCAGTGGGGCATAGGGATAGGTTGTTTAATGCCTGAGATCATGGAAACCCCCTCAGGTTTCTTCTGGAGCAAAAGGGAAACAACACAACCCCCCGCTCGAGGTTTCCAAGTGGGCCACCCCCATACTTCATCGAAAAAACACGGATTTCCTGGTCACCAATGGCCCCAAATCTGGGGTACACCAGATTCAGTCGCCTTTTCCATTTTGGAGACCCCAGGATTCGGGTCCCAGCCCTCCTCAATCAGTGGCCCCCTCCCTCCCCGCAAAGCGCCTTGGCCGCACCCTCCACTGCCACCTGCGCCGCCTCCGCAGCCAAGGCCGCCAGCTTCTGCTTGGGGCTGAGCTTGGCCAAGGTGGGGCTCTTCAGCACCACCTGACCCGCCGAAACCGCACCGCACCATGGGCCAAATTCCCAGACCCGGTTCGTGGATTAGAATCTATAGCGGAAAAAGGGGGCACTCGTTTCGTGGTATTAACTGACCCCAGTGGATTGGCACCCCGCCTAATAAAGGTTGAAAAAGGGGACCGCTGGAGGTCTGGGTTGTGGTCTGGGTTGAGTTCTGGGTGATTAATCCTCCGTTGGAGAAATCATTGGGGGTGGTTTGTAGGGGTGTCTAGGGCACAAATGACATTGAGTGGTTCCTATGGCTGTAAAGCCGCGGAGGGGTCGGGAGGTGTCAACATAAGACTCCCCTGCCGCCAGACGCCGACCCCTATCTTTATTTTTGCTTAAGCACCCATCAAACAACCTGCTTTGGATCCGTGCCAGATTCTCGTTGTCCAAAGGCTTCGGCTTCCGCCCCTCCCCGATCAACTTCTTCCCGCTTGCCGCGCAAAAAGGCAAGCTCCAAAAAACCAGGCTTTCCAGACCCCCTAAATCCCGAAATTCGAGTGGCACTCCTCTGTGCAGTGGGGAGGTTTTCTACCTGTCTTGACCAGCCTAGCCTGAACCCAAAAACCCGGACAATTCGGAGCGCCTGGCGGGTGGCAGCGATGGCGTTGTCCAGCTTCTTGCTTGGGGTGTTGTTCCCTGCGGCGTGCGGCTCGAATAGCCATGGTCGAAATTCCATTTTGCTTCCCTTTGACTCCCTCCCAAATAATAACTTCTTACTAACAGCCCCTTCCTCGGGCTCCACGCCGAATACTAACTTTACTCACCGCCCTTTCCCCCAGGATACCGCTTTCTTTCGCTGTCTTCTCCTTTCTGTGGTCCGGAATAGTTCTCTGTTGATTCATGCGTATGCCTTTTTTTGCCTACCCAAATGAAGCAAATTGTGCCATCTGCCATCCAAACGCTGCGCCTTTGGCTGCGGCTGAAGGCTTGATGGGTGGGCTCCCCCAAAGTTTGTGCCAGCTGCACATTTCGCGTGTCCTTTTAGAGGGCCCATTTGCCTCATTCGCCTGATTCGCGTTCAGGGGAGGGCTTTGGAGAAGTGTTGCCGGGGTCCATTGTTTGTTTGGCGCCGGGATGTCATCCCATTGAACAACACCACTTCCCTTGCCAAAATCAGTCTACGAGGCAAAACCATCAACGCCCAAGAAGCAACAGCCCTTCCGCATTCCATCTCTGCGTCTGGAGGGGCTTGACTCAGCAAGGCAACGAAGAAGGCGCCCAGTGATGCCCTTGACTCAACTAGTTTGGAAGCAAAGAACTCTTTGCAGCTGGGTCATTAAAGTGACATCCTCAAAAGATACACAGTATATATATATATATGTATAATTATGTACTTTAATGCAACCATTGAAGGGCCCGGCAATGTGATACTTCTTACGCCGTTTCTGTGTGGGATTTTGTGCCTAGGCCCTACGAGTTCAACAAGAAACCCGCGCCTAGGTTCATGAGGGTCTCCTCAGCGGTGGTCACCGCCGTGTCCACAATCTCCTGGGAGCAAAAGGGACCCAAATGCAACCAGTGACTCTGGCAACCGCCACCCCCACACCCACACCCCCCACCCCCACCCCAACAAAGGGGTCCCTTTTTGGGGGGGCCCAGGAAGGCTGAAGGTAAACTCTAACACGTGGAAACCTGGGACCCTAAACAAGGAAAAGGGTGCATCGTTTTGATTTGTTTTGAAGACTGAGGGTGACCTATGGAACTTGGCGGTTTTTGCAAAAGTGCACCGTTCACTGGGAACAAATCCTTGCAGCCAGTGACCAGCGTCTTTGACTTGACCCCTCAACAGGGGCTTGTTTAAATGGACACCAACCGTAAATCACATTTTGGGAGGAGGGGGTGAACCAAGTCTTCCAGTTTGGGGTCCTGGGAGCTTCCATGGAATCGCCTGGGGGACGGTAAATACCAATTTGGGGGGCGGGGGTGGCAATCAGAATCTGAAAGAATTGCCCTTCCTCGCACAAACGTGGCACCTGTGGGAAGTTCTCGGAAAATATATTTCCTCAGATCTCACTCCCGGCCCCCGCCGAAATCAAAAGAATACCAATCCATGTTCTTTGTTTTTTCATTGGGCGCGCATTTTAATGAGGGACACGGACATCAAACCATTGCAAGGATTCGACTCTCAAAAATCATGGTCATTGGGTCCAGCTCCAAAGGCACCGAGAGCACTTGTCAAAAGCAAACACATGGCGGTAGCCAAAATCACAACAACTCGTCAAGTGAACCAGGCGGTATTAGGAACAAAAACTGCTGATCAGGGGCCATGGGAAGAAAAGACAACCCCACGGGGTCATCGGGCGCAGGTCCCCTTTTGATTAGAGCCAACCTGCAACCAGTGGGCAAACTGACCTAAAAAGGCCACCTATGATTGGGAAAACTACCCTCCAATCAATTGACATTACCATCCCATGATGGAATGGTCCATGACCCCTCTGTCAGGTTCCATGTGAAAAGGGTGGGACGCTATGCCGCAAAACCCACACGCCTCCATATGGACAAAACTTGCCGCTGCGATAGGCAGAGAATAAGAAATGGAATGACCCCTACAAACCTTCTCTGATTTGGTTTCCTTCAAGGGACTCCCCAGCTTGACCTCAGGCAACGCGTGGTTTCTAACCAAGTAGGATGAGGTCCCCGGAAATGGCCACAGCTTCCCCCCTTATCTGAAAACCAAACGGGGGTTCAGCATTTTGGGAGAAAAAAACACTCTGGAGCTTTGACATCACCTATTCCAAGAATGCCACGGGACGTGAAGGCTCAAACGGTTGGACGTGCCCATTGGGGGTGGATTGTTTTTTTTTTTTTTGCGGGAAATCAACAGCTTACCGCAAACCCCTAAAAACACATCCGCCGGGTCCCCTTTAAAAGGAACCACCAGGGATGGGCTCATGGGGATCATTTCATTCCCTATCGCACCAGCAACAAACACCACCCACGTCCTGGGTCGTCTTCCCTGCCGCGATGGCCACGTGGAGCGCCGCCTCCGTGGCCGCGATGGTGCTCTGAGACACCGCCTGCGGCCGCTGGAAGCCCGAAACGCCGGGCGCTGGAAAACGGCTGGGAGGTGGCTCTTATGGATCCACCGACCCCTGCCTAGTGTCTCCATGACCCTTTAAACATAGGTCCCCATGATCTAGGGTAATGACCCCATTTTTCAAGGATCATGGAGACTCCAGGTGTAGGACATTCAAAGAGTACTGGACAACTACTCAAAAAATGGCGTCAACAAGGAGGAAGAGCATGTGAAATCCACAAAAAGCGCATCCAAACTGTGTTCTAGAGGGGGTTCCCGATGTTCGCCCCTAAAACATCACCTATGGCACCTCAAAACCCTGTCCCCCTGAAACTCCCTGAAGTTCCTCTTTGGGGAGTTCTTTCTGAGGTACCTGCATCTGTACTGGGCGACTGCTTTACATTGGGAAGAGCCGGGCAAGCCGCGCTCCCAATCTGCCCGCGCGTACACGGGCTTTTCTACAGCAAGTGCTGGTGACCAAATTTATTTTTGGGGGACATGCTGTGACACAACCTGCGCCAGGCACCAATGAGTAAACCATTTCTCCCAGGACTCATGGGGCTTCATGAATCCCTGGTCAGTTGTCATGGGATTTGAGGGGGGCCTTGGGTTGTTTCCCTTTCGCCTGACGTGGCCTTTGCACGGCAAGCTTTGAGCGACCGACTGAAACAGGTTTCATTTTGCTAAACCGCCAGAAAGCTCGGATTTGCACGGTTCAATCAGTCAGACCCTTTTTATGCCTGTCATGACGCACTATGTGTCGGCACAGGCCATAGTTTCACGACAAACCACTTTGTTTTGTCGACAACTACTGCCATCATCAGGGCAACAAATAGGGGTCCATACCGGGTTCATGCTTTGCTTCATATACTCAGTCTGTGAGGTTCGGGGGAACCAAATCATGTAACATAAGGCAGTGCAAACATGTCTTCTATTATCGTCTCCTAACTGCTTGAAAATACCCCAAAACCCCATAAGATTATGAAAGGCCCTTCTCAAAACCCCTATTGTAGTTCCCACTGGGCAGGATGCCTTCAAGGATACATCCAAAGACCACTCTGCTTCACAAGGGGACGATCCAAATCAGCCAAACTAGGTCCTCCAGTAGAGAGGTTAGAATCATGGTACCCTTTTTGTCTTGTCTATTTTGGGGCAACCCTCCCGCAAAAACGAAAAACGGTTAAAAGTTGGCACCAACTGCTGGGGGACCTTCGACCCACGGCCAGCGAGGAAAATCGCCTCCTGGACTTCCAAGCCGTTGTCCATGGCGAAGGAGAAGACCGCCTTCGCAGCTGCCTGTGGCTCGAGCTGGGCCACCAGCGGGCACTACCCACTCCAAATACCCACCTTTTTGTAGGGTATCTTTTGAAAAAGCTGGATTTCCATGCCTCTTTCAGCAGAGGGGAGACATCATACCCTAACAAGAAGCGGGTATTTGGAGTGGGGAGTATACCCTGGGTGTCCGCAAGTGCAAAGGATGACCAACCCCCGAACTAAACCGAATGAGGGCATTGTGCCATCTACCTTCACCATCCTTCACCATCCTTCACCATCCTTCACCATCCTTCACCATCCTTCACCATCCTTCACCATCCTTCAACATCCTTCACCCACCTCTACTTTTTCAGCGTATGTTTGAAGGGAAGCCAAGGACCCAAACTCAGATGCAATTGCCCGATCCCTGCAAGCATTTTTTTTAGCGCCAAGAGTACAGTTCATAATAATGGGGAACCCGGATTGATACACTCCTTTTACCCCATCCGATAATAGGGGGGGTGTCCCTGTTGACTTGGACCCCCGGATTAAGAAACCCGTGCCAGGTAATTAGTGTTAGACACCCTAATCAACCCGAGGGTTGCCTCACTGCCACAAAAAGTATGTCTGAGCATTGTGTTCGGCACTATAATGTGCTTCTCAAAAAGTGAAGCTAAAGTCCACATGAAACAATGGGAAGGGGAGACAGGGGGAAATATACGAAGATCCCCATGTTCCAATTGGCTGTGGGTCAAAAATAGGGTAACCCCAAAATGGGTTACCAGGCCAAATGGAATCAGGGACTAAAACCTACCGAGCATTTCCTGGAGGGTTAATCTTGCTGCTGCTCAGCAAGGGAAGAGGTAATGAACCCTTACAAACCATCCCTTGTGGTTTTCTTGAAGGGAATCCCCAGGATCAAGCACCAGCAAGTTAATTTTGACCCCCACTTTATGCTGGATTCTTTGTCGCCAAGCGCTGGTGGCTGTGAGGTACTCCCCATGTAAATGATGTCCGCCATGTCCCAATTGGCACTTGGCTGGGCTCCCTATACTTCCCCTTAAACCATCACCCCACCAACAAACACTCACATTTCATGGGCCAAACAGGCGATGCTTAAAATCGCCCAAAAGGTTGAGGGAAATCTGGGGACCCCTGAACTTTGAGCCTGTTTTGTCTCAGTTGATCAAAGGACCCAGAAAGGTGAACTCTTTGGGCCCATGACTCCTAGGTTCTCAAGTAGAGAGGCTAGAAAAGGGGTACCCTTTTTGCTGTAGTCTATCGGGAAGCCTCCCCCAAAAAAGTTGGTAAAAGGGCACTACTGGGGGACTTGGTGACTAAAAACGGGCCAAGATCCCCAAACCCAACGCCACGTGCCCAAACCCATCGCGCCTCGGCGGCCTCCTGCGGCGCCTTCCCCGCCGCCAGCGCCTCCTCCGCCGCTGCGGAGCCCACGGCGCCCGTGGCCGCCGCCACCGCCGCCGCCTGCGTAATCCGCCGGGTCGCGGCGCGGATTTCGGGGCGGTGCGCCGGCTGGAAGGTCATTCAGGCGGAAGCTCTACAGTCCTCAACGCCGTGCGGACCTGTCAGGAGCTTCAGCTCTTCCTTTCTGCCAGGCAAAATCCCCGGAGGTCGCCCGGGCAAAAACCCGGGGCACCTACCCTCCCACCACGTAACGTGGAAGCTACCTACTGGACCTCCCACCAATGCGCATGGAATATGAGTGTGTCAGGGAAAAGCCGGGGGGGCCTACCCTCCCACCAATTCACATGGAACTTGGGTGGGGAGGGTAAAGATTTCGGGGAGGGTAGGTCCGGTAAACCCATTCACAGGTTTCAGACTCCCTCCAAGTGCTGACACTCAGGTTGCATGTGAATCGCTGGGAGTCGAAAACCTGGAACCTGGGGCCAGGACACTTGAACCTGAAAATTCATGTGCCAACCACTTGCGAGGAGGTGTTCTGTCAAAAAAGAACATAGCCCCCCAAAAATGGGGCGGGATGAACAAGAGGTTGTTTACCATCAAGAACTGGAGTTCCAAAAGTTTGTTAAAGCCCACAGCCCACATGCTTGTTTCGCCTTGGTCATTGTTGTTCCGCCCTTCACGTGGGGAAATCCGATCTACCATCATCGCGCGTAAGATGAACAGAGCCTTCGCATTGGCCGAGGCGTTACCGCCGGCGGCGGCTGCAGCAGCAGTGACACCACGTTGGGCTGCCTGGCGCCATCAAACGAGTGCTGGGCACACATGGCTTGCGCCAGTATGGTATCAACTCTCGTCCTGAAACGGCTATGAAACGGCGACAAGCTCACACCCCTTCCCCAATGCTGTTCGCACGCAACAGCACTCGGCTCATATTTTCTATGTTAGAGTTTGCCCCCATCTCAAAATCTGTGTTTCTGGTCCAAATATTAGTCAAGCTCAGTTGTGATTCAAGTCAGGTATGAACAGAGCCGGCCTTGGCAGCAGCAAGGACATCGCTCTTCGAGCCTTAGAGTGCGTGCCTGGTGGCATCTGCGTAGTTGCCCCCCCCCCCCCCAATCAGGCACCTGGGGCAACCGGCTACGGAATGTAAGTGGCTCGCAACCAGCGGCTAAAGACCTGGGCTGCTAACCTTCTATTCAGCCGCGTCCAGGGCTGAGGATTTCCCACCTTCCAACCCTGGGTGTTAAATACAACGTCAGGAACAAAATGCTCGTCCCTTGCTGTTGTTTTGTCTTGGTAGAAGTGAAAACGCCACGGGCTAAGGTGGAAGTTATCCATCTTACCACCTTTCTTGCTGGTTCTCAGCCGGAATCCTCGGCCCCTATTTGCCATGGCTTCCTTCAAGGGGATCCACAACCACCTCACTGCCTAAGTTGATTAGACAAACCGAGTCCAAACATTTTGTTTACCACTAGAATGGTCTTCCCAAGTCTCAAGTCCAGGACCTCACAGAGTGAGAAACGGTAAACATTCCTTCCATTCGCAGTTCAAGCCTCCCGGGAAAAATAGCGAGATAATTCTATTCGTGACAGCTTCTCCCTGCAAAACCAAAGAGGAAACATATACTGGAAGATTCCCAAAACCCCTCTTGATTTCTTCTAGGTCCTCCAGCATAGAGGTTAGAATGAAAGGGTACCAACTTCTTTCTGTAGCCTATTTTAGTAGGGGCGCCGAATCTCCCAACCAAAAGCCTCCCAACCAAAAAAGAAACGGGTGAGAGCTCGGGCACCGATCGCTGGAAAAACCTCGTCTCGAGCCAGGTTCTCTGGGGCCCAGGGCTGTGGGGATGCTCCGAGATCACGCGGCCCGCCGCCTCCGCGGCGCTCTGGGCCGCCTCGATTTCTCCGAGCGGGCGAGGGAGCAAGGAGGAGAAAGCTGCAAACTCCCCCAAAAATCTTCCCCAAAAAAACCAAACAAAAAAACAATGGAACTTTCAAGAAGCTTTCAAGAAGCCGTGGGGCCCATAAAGTCTGCGGATTCTTTGATTCTCGGGCCCTAGGGTTTCAGGGCTACTGTGGATGGTTGCGAAATCCGGTTGATGCATTTTAATCCATGGTTGAAACCATTTCTTGTTGGTATTCGCAGGGGACTCATCAGTCTATGGTTTCTTGGGTGGTGCTGGATTTCATCCATCCACAATATGACCAGAGCCCTGAAACCCTAGGGCCGGGATAATCAAAGAATCCGCAGACTTTACCAAAAATGCCCAAAAAGCCTGTCCCGGTTCCTTTCGGCGAGCCTTGCCTGTGTGACACGCTCGGATTTCCAAAACCTGAAATGAGGAATCCGCAAGTAAAGGATCTTTACCATGAGCTCGTTTTAGCCCCGAATCGGTGAGAGCTCACCAGAAGTTAGGCAGAACGCTTTGGAAATTCATCTCCACCGCCTTTTGAGGTGCCCTATTCAAAATTAGAATATGCTCAGCTCTAGTTATTTGGATTGGTTTGGAGGTGGGGTGGCTTCCCGCATGAGGGCTTGAACTCCCCAAACCACTCCAAGCAAGGGGTACGCCGGACAATGTTGCCACCAAAACAGCCATACGAAGAAGACGAACTGATAACCTGAACAAATATGAGCAACAAACGACATCATTCACTTCTCAGGTTAAACTGACTACCGGTGTAGTGTGCCTCCAGTTTGTGTGTGCATCGTGTGTGGATTGCCCCATTCAATGTTGTAGTACTGAGTAGTATTGGTGGGTTCCAGGGCGGTCCAATGTCGGTTTTCAGTTTGCAAACCTTGGCCTTTCAGTTTGCAAACCTTGGCCCCCGTCAAAAGCAGGCTGTTCAAAGAGCGGTTTATCGGCTCATGGAATATCTGTCTTGATATACGTCCCCCTGCAAACCTGTGAGACATACCAGGGAAACCGAGTTCCTCCTCAAGCTGTTGGGAATATCATGGCCTGAAGGGCCCCACAAATAGTCACTAATAGTCACCAGAATCAGTGCATAAGCATGCATGAAACCATTTGGCAGACTGTTCCTCCGTGCCTCCCGACGCCGCTTGGTTTGCAACTTTAGAAGGATTTGGATCCTCTAGATCAGCTGGAAGATTTGTTTAGCTGGCCCAAATGCATCCTTTGATGAACCCTGCAGTAGCTTTGACCTTGATTGTACCTCGAATATCTCGGGGTTAGCCCCCTTAAAACAAGGGACTATCCAAGTGATTTATAACCCACCTGACCCAGTTGAACAACATAAGAGATACTCACACCACTTGGGCGTGTTCTTTGCGTTGCTTCCTTTCTTCGGGGAACTCCGTCGGCCACCAAGTCCTCAGACCCCGCCTCGGCGTAGCTCATCCCGGAGTCCAGGGCTGCCTGGAAAGCCGCGGCTGCGGCCACCGCCGCAGCTTCCTCTCGCCGGGAAGCAGAAGAGGAACTTTTTCAAACCGTGCCTTCCACATTCTCCAGGGGCCTACGAACAAAACCCAAAAAATTACCCCCTCCAGACTTTGGGCCAAGCAAAGATTTCTCATCTGAAATCCTTCTTGCTAAAAAATATGAGCCAATCCCCGAGCAAATGGGTGGTTTCTAAGAGAAGGATTGGTTAAGAGAAGGGGAATCAACCTCTGGACATTTTCATGGTGGTTGCACACGTACACCAACTGTGTGCCAGTGTGGGTGTGTGTGTGTGTGTGTCTGTTTTTTGAGCGTACCCTTATCAGGGTTGGCCCAAAAGGAAGCCAACAGTTTCTTTGGCTGGTTGAACCGCACAAAGACCTTGTGTGGATGGTAACGGCAAACATGTGTATGTGCCACAGGCAGAGGTTGGTGGTTGCACATGCTCATTTGTTCAAGGAATATTCAATCAACATGTTGCTTTGGTGTGAACTTTAATGGGTCCACAAGGGCCGTGTGGACATGACTAGCGTAGGGATTCACGTCCACCATCCACTTAGATTTTGAGGTGTTGCCCTAAATCTCCTTCAACAACTAAACGGCAACCCCCTAGCCCCCTTTAAAGCCAAACGAAACGGACATTGTTTGAACAATAGCGACGCATAAACAGATTTAAACAACGGGTTGGTTCGCCCACCCAACCTGTAATGGGGGTATCCCTAGGCATTCAGCGGGTGGCAATCAAGTTGAACTACTCTTTCCAACAATCTTGAAAGGACAAGCGGGCTAATAACGACACTGCCCTCTTGAAAAAGCCAAATGCAGAAGGTGGGGAACCCTGCCAACCTGGTTCAAGCCAAATTGGCCCTGCCCAAAATGCACATGGTAAAGACAATATTTAGGGTCGAATATCATCGGGATCTCCACCAAACACAGTGGGGAAGGGAGACAACTACATAAACAAGTCAATTCTGTAAGGGAGTGAGTAAGACAGACCAAGGACACGTCCCAATTAAAAAGCAATCGCTGGCTACTGTCACCACTGAACCCCAACCCCTGAACGCTCGGTTTTTAACCCTGTTCAAGTTACACGCCACGTGTTTAGCCCCAACAACGCAACAAGCTTCCTGAGTTGATGGGCCAAGAAAGGTCCAAACTTGTTGGTCCAAACCCAAAACGTCTAAAGTCCAGGAACCCGACGAGTGAGCCGCACATCGCTTCATACCCTGCACCACCAGAGAAAGCCTAGAACGATGACCCCCCTGTAAATAGCAACAAATGGTCTCAACCATCTTTTCAAAGTGGTGCGAATTGGATTTCGTCCAGCAGCTCGGCCTTTCCCTCTGGCGCCTCCACGTCCTCGTTGGCCGCCAGCGCCCGGTCCGCCGCCGCCTGGGACGCCTCCTGCGCCGCGGACTGCGCCGCCTGGGCCACGGTGAGCCCCGCCGCGCGCGCCGCGCGGAAGGCCGCGGTGGCCGCCAACGCCCCCAGCTGCCTCGGCTTTGGCTGCGAGGGATGTGCCAAGGAAAAAGTGGGAAGTGGTGGCCGTCAGTTTTCTTTGGTTCCAAACCTGACTGAGAGGAACACATGAGAGTACATTGTATACTTCTATATGAGTGAGTGAGCGTGAGGTCATCCAAGTGACAGGCTATGGGCCAACCAGGCGAACAAGCTTGGACTCGAGCCCATTTAGGATATGGGTGGATATCAGCCGCCACATCTGATGGTACGGCTCCACAATGTGCGGCCCTTTGCTGTGTAGCTGTTCCTCCACTTCCAGGTCCGGGAGGGTGTAAACCCTCCCACCCGAAGCCAAGCCTCAAACACCGGGAGTGGGGCTGAAAGAACTATAAAATTAAGTGCAGTGTATGTCTCTGCGCACATTTTGGGTGGACGAATCCCTTATGAGCTCGTAGGCGGTTTGCCCGAGTATTTCAGTTGAGCATCATCCATGCCAAGTTCAATAATGTTGACCCAAGCTTTACATACCCCTGGTTGATTAGGTGGTCCCGTTTGGAGGCCGGGGTCAAAGAAAAGCTCACATGCAGTACAGCCCAGAGTTGGCCCAAGATCAGAAAATGACCCATCCCACCACGAAAGACCGCCATGGCTACAGTTGACTTTGTGGTCTATATTTGTTCATAGGAAGTCACTTCACAAGTCGTTGGGTTCGTGTCCACGGACCTTTGATGTCCAGGAAAGGGCCGTCTAGTAAGTTTCACGCCCAATGGACCCAACAAATGAAGGTTCACTTTTTTGGGTCATGACAAAAAAAAAAGCGTTCAAACACAGGAACCCCGAAAGGTCAAAAGGTCGGGCTTTTCCTCCCTCCTCCCTCAATGTCAAGTGCGGATGCAGCAGACTGCTGCCTAAAGTTCAATCGGTTGAACATAGCAACATCACACAAATATAGCTGGCTCCCTAAATTGCGCAAGTATGTCAGGCTTTCACTCGGATTTGGGACTCATGGTGCCTTGCTCGCTGATGACAGGGCTAGCTCCACTTAGGGGAACCTATACTTTTGTCATAGCCCAGGTTGCCAACAACTTACTAAGTTCTTCCCAAAAAAAACTGTTGAGTCCATAAAAGTCCATGTTCTGTTCTTCGCCACTCCAAAGGTCCAAACCCAAACACGTCACTAAAGTCCATGTTCTGCTATTTTGCCGCCAAAAAGGTCCAAAAGCCCATAGACTCAGGGAGCGAACAGAAGCGACCCCCTGGCCCTCGCCGGGCCGCTGCGGCGTCACCTCCTTGTCCGCCGCCTGCTCCGCCGCCTGCTGCGCCGCCGCCTTGGCGGCGGCAGATGCCACGCGGGGCGCGGGGAGGCCCGCGGCCTTGGCGGCCTCGCGGTGGGACGCTGCCGTGGCTCCGGGGGAAACACCCGGGGAACCCATCCCAAAACCCGAAAAGAGAAAAACAAAAAAAACGGCGCGCATGCCCCGTTGTAGACAAGGCGCTGGGAAACACCCCGTTTTGTTGCTTTTGAGAAAAGAAGGATGGTTGAAAAGAAAGGTTGGAAGCAACCCCTAGAGTTGCTTCAGAGAGATACTCTGGATGGCGATGCGAACTCCGGGAGTCTCGCACCACCGAACTCAGAAACCCAGGGAATGATTTGATTCCCCAACGCAAATATCAACCTACAATGGCTTTCCATGGTTTCAAAGTGGTGCAAGATTTCGTCCATGGCAAATTGGCGATATACTCCAAAGACAGTTACTTGAACATTGGGAATAAAATACCAGGCTACCACACCCAAACACCTGTTTCTCTCTGTTTAAACATGGGAATAAGCTACCACCAAGCCAGTAAAGGGAAATTGAGATCCCTCCAGTAAACTGGAGCTATACCCGTTTAGCGGGTTGGCAGGCAGCCAAAGGGCAACCACCAGGATGTGCTTTGAACCAAACCCATAAAGTCCAGCAAACTCAAGGAGTCAAACAAAACCACCCCCAAGCCGGTATGTGACAACTGGAGAGTGGTTGAAGACCCTCTATCTATGGGCCAAACTGGAAAGGTGAGGATAAAATGGTTAAACAACAACCAACAACCAGCACCCAACGGATAACAGTGGGGTCTTTTTGCCGGAAAATTGGCGACCCCCTTCAACAGGAATCCTTCACTACGAGGGGGTCCAACAATTTTCCACCTTTTTGGTGGCAAAAAGACTGCCCTGATGGGCAACACCCTGGTTCCAACCGCCGAAAGCCCCCGAGCCGAGGCCACGGGAAAACCCCAGCGGCCTCCATGGCAGCGGTGGCCGCGGAAGGCAGCGGCTTGCCCAGCTCCTGGTGCCATGGGTCCCGGATGTGGCGCAAGATGCGGCGCCCGCGTGCTTGGCTTCCATTTGGTTAAGGCCCAAAAGGAAAAATATGTTCACTGGTGATGCATTCTGTTAAAACCAACAAGGGAAAATAAAACTATATTCTTAACCAAATGGCGGTTGGTGGTTTCCCCCGGTTGCTTTTGAAACCATCCGAGAAAAGGGCACCCGGCAAAAAGCAAAAAAAAGTGACACCTGACGCACCTATATGTTCAGATTCAGTTTTGGAAATAATCTACTCCACGATATGGAGTCAGTTGGGAGGAGACCCTAGTATAGTGAGTAAAAAACAGTTCGCCTACCCAACCCGTGGGTACAGCTAGCACAGACTTCAACCAGGAAATGGCCCGTGTGCTGCCACACAGCGTCCCTATTTTTGGCAAACCAACTCTCTCTCTCTCTCTTTTTCTCTCTCTCTCTCTCTTTTTCTCTCTTTTTCTCTCTTTTTCTCTCTTTTTTTTTCTCCTCTCTCTCTCTCTCTCTCTCTCTCTCTCTCTCTCCGTGAAACAGGAGGATCAAGAGTTGCTTCTGTGCTGCAAAGGTGCTTCAGACAGGGGTGGTTCAACCTTCTTTTCAACCATGCTAAAGAGAAACCGCAAGTGTTCCCAACAGCTCCCCAAGCAAACCAAAGGTTGACACAGGGTGTGCGTGTGTATTTCCATGGTGTCGTTCAAACCAGAGCCAGGGGTTACCTGAACACTGCGTCATGCGACCCGATGGCCGACGCCGATCCAAGGGTTTGAGTCATGAGCCGTGGTCCACTGGGGCTCCGGGGCAGGATCCGGAAGGGTTCTGCATTTGAATTTGAGGCCCGTTGGTCAAACCAGCTCCACAAGAAGAGCCGCCAGAGCGAACAAAAGACAACTGAAAACATCAGCCCGCCGAAATAATTGCAATCTATAAGTGCGAAGAAGGAAAAAGCTGTTTTTGATCAACGCGCACACATATAAAGAACTCAGAGTATCGTGAAGGTTGGAACCGTAACTTGGCAACTGGGGCGTGCTTGTGACAGGCAGCAGCCATCCAAAGACCTTCATTACCTGAAGGCTAATCTACAACCTACGCCCTTGCCACTCATCACACTGCGCCTGGAACGCCAACCGGAACAACTGCCTAAACAAATAGAAGGACCAGGTTCACATAGAAGCCAGCTACAGGAAACAATTTCCACAAGGATTCCCAGTAGAACTTCCTGCTGGGATCCAGAGCTTGATTTTTCAAGCCACACACGTCGCTCCGAAGTCCGAAGACCCTTGGCTTCGTGGAGCCGAAGCAGGCTCAACTTCTTGAGTCAAAAGACGCTTTGGCCTTTTCAGTACTGAAAGGTAAAACAAAGGTAAAACCTTTTTGACCTTTTGGCCTTGTGACCTTTTGACACAAGGGCAAAACATCAAAATTGGTACTGAAAAGGCCAAATGGCCTACCCATGATTCAAAGCGGCCGCACGAAAAGATGCTCGGGATTGTCACTAGCTTTTGCATTCCCAGGTTTTGATTGGGGCTTTTTGGGGGGTTGGTCACCTCTTTACGGCCAAAGAAGCTTCTGCCGCTGCAAAGCAACATGTACCCATGTTGACGAAGCTACTCCTTTTGTTGGCAACATCTTGTCCTGTTTGGTACCCCTTGTTTCGCTGACCAGTTGAGTATACTGGCGAAGCAAATGAGGCCCAACCAAAACAAGCCAGCAACAACTTGTTCAGGTTGCCAACCCAAGTGGCAAGATTGAACACGCAACCAGCATCATTTCCCAGCTTTTGCCCGCCCGGAATCTCTGATGCTGACCTTTAATGCGCCCCAGAATGTGAAATCATTCCAAGGGAGATCCCAGAATGGATAACCAAACTAGGCGTTTAACCAAGCTGACATCAGTGGAACCCATCAATTTGAATCAAACTGATCTGAAAGGACACGTGTGTTAAAGCCTGGAAGGCAAACCCGGACGCGCGCTCCTGACGAATGACCTGGCGCACAGCCTCCGCGATGTTCTGAGCCACCTCCTGGGAAGCTGCGGGCCTCCCCCAAACCTGAAAGGTCACACCCCTCTAGGTTAGCATGGAACTCTAAAAGCGGGTGTCCAAAACTCACTGGCTGAGTGGATGGCCCAAAAAAAGTTCAAATTTTATAATTACCACTAAAATGGTCTTCCCAAAAAGTTTAAAGTTCATGCACTCAGGAAGTGAGAAAAGGAGGCGCCTCTCGAGTTCTGATGGCTGCGTGTCATTTTGCAGGGACCAAAAAAACATGTTAGGGGAAACTAAGCCTGAATTCGGGCTTAACGGCTGGGAGGGTGTTTGGAGGGTCTGCAGGGTCCCTGATGCAAACATCTTGGTGCAGTCAAATAACAACCAAACAAACTCATCTTTTGCTTGCTTCTTAAGAGGTCCTTGGAAGGAGCAATTCCTGTATTCTCTACAGGGAGCAAGCAAGGTGTCGGCAACCTTTTAGTTTTTGCAGGGTCTTCAAAAACGGCATGTGGGAAAAGTGAGCAAGTACAACAATCTATGGCTTTGCTTAGGGGTTCCGTACTTATGGCTTTGCTTAGGGGTTCCGTACTTAAAGGCAAAGCCATATCCATATGATTCTGGATGAATTCGGACTTGACCTGACAAAAGGTAATAAATTATTCTGCTGGGGTCGACAGCAAACCAAATCCCGTGAGGCCCTCTGCGATTGCTCGCATGGAAACCGAAGCCCATGTTGGGGGCAAGCCGGGCACAGCGCACGGCACGAATCTGGAAAGCGTCTCTTCTTCAGGGTACCGCTTTCGGTGTGGTTTTCGGAAAACCAGAAGGACCACCAACTAGTGGCAAGACACACACACAACGCACGAAGCTGGAGCTCCTTGAAGTCTTTCAAGCCGCTGGCTTCGCCGTGCAGCCAGTCAGGGCCAGCTGCTTTGGCTTTTTCTGTGCTCGTGCTTGTGGTTGTGCTAGTGGTGGTGCCTGGGCACGGAGTCCAACTGCAAATGCGGAGGAGGGTAAACCACAAAAACGGTCGAAGAAAATCCGACCGGATTGAGCGCGGTAAGGGAACATTTTGGGACGTTGCTCGCGGCCTCTAACACTCCTCTAACATGTAACAACAAGTCGGGGAAGGCTGTCATGACGTGGTTTTGCTCGAGGTCTGACAGCGAAATGCAGGGTGGTGGGACTTGGCTTCTGTTTCGCCAGGAAACTGACCTTCCCTAATGGGGGTCACTGAAGTGGAATCCAACCAGCCTGGCCATGGTTGTGAGAAATAATCCTTTGGCCCTGTTCCTATTTTGTCACCTTTCAAGTGTACAACGTTGGAAAAAACAGAAAGCGGCCCGATAAAACATCCATTTCCCACAACCCTTTCCCTGGGAAGTGCAAATGACAAGCCCAAGGTGCTGGCATCCTCCTGCCCTTCCTCAGGGGGTGCTTTCTCACCTCCGCCCGATACATCGCTGGCGGCAGAGTCCACAGAGTCCACGTGGCCCGCGGCGCGCCCCGTGGGCAGCAGAGGGCCGCCGTCCTTGGACTTTGGGTCGGGCTCTTGTCATTGGAACGGGGGATGCTGGTCCTGTACGTTAAACGGTTCAGGGTTGTGTCTCTTTCATTTGGATTCTTTAGAGCCATGGACTTTTGTCACCCATTTTTTGAAGTCTCCGAACAGGTTTGTGCTTCCGCAGCGGACATGGAAGAGGCAGTGAGATGCTTGGCTTTTCCAGCATTCTCCCAAACTGACCACAAACTGAATGATGTGACCAAACTTTGTAGCGACCGTACGGGCCCAAGTTTTGAACGTGGCCCGCTGGAACCCTTTTCGGGGTTGATCTCATTCCATGGTGGGCCCGGACTCACGAAAGGAAATGGGCTTTAAAGAGTAACATCTACCGAACAATCGTGAAGAGGTCGCAAGTGCCGGGGTGGCTGTAAAGGACGCTTACCCTACGTTGCTTTCATTTTGATAATGGGGCCGACTCAAAACATCCGATGACCCTGAAGGGGGTCTAGCAAAAGGGTTCTGGGATGCTACGCGAACTATTGTCTTTTTGTGCAGGCAGAAACCCGTTGAGGGTCCCCTGCAAAAAGTCCTTGTCTTTGTGTGTGTGTGTGTATGTTTTTTCTCTCTGTGTGTGTGTGTGTGTGTGGGTCTCTGTGTCTGCGTGTCTCTGTGGCTGTGTCTGTGTCTGTGTCTGTGTGTCTGTGTGTCTGTGTGTCTGTGTGTCTGTGTGTGTGTGTGTGTGTCTCTCTCTCTCTCTCTCTCGCTCGCTCTCTCTCCGCGTCTGTGTGTGTATGTCTGAGTGTGTGTGTGTGTGTCCGTGTCTGTTTGTCTGTGTCTCTGTCCTGTCTCTGTCTCTCTCTCTCTCTCTCTGTCTTTGTCTGTGTCTGTGTGTCTCTGTGTGTGTGTGTGTCTGTGTGTGTGTGTGTGCGTCTGTCTGTGTGTCTCTGTGTGTGTGTGCCTGCGTGTTTGTGTCTGTGTGTTTGTGTGTCTGTGTGTGTGTCTGTCCGCTTGCCTGTACCTTTTTGGCTGGTTTTGAAGGGAAAGTCACGGTTGAGGTCCAAATCCCTATTTTGACACACACTCTTCTTGGGTTGGGATCAAAGGCTGGGCATGAACACGCGATCTAACACATGCCCTGTCGGGTAAAAGCCATCTTCTCAGGGTGATTCTCCCCATTCTGTTTACCTATTTTTCAGAAACTACCCATTTCCCCACGGGTTTTGAGCCAGTATTCGAGAAGAACCGGGGGGAGGCAGCTTTGAAACGTCCCGTTCGCTAAGTGCAGAGCCGGGCTCCGCCTGCTTCAGGAACTCGATGCGGGAAATCCGGCCATCCGAATCGGAGTCCAGCAGGTGGAACAAAGGCACCAGGGCGGTTCGGGTCTGGAAGTCCCGGGGGTAGAACTGGCGAGCAATGTACCTGGCAGATGCGTACGCTCGCGCCAGGCAGTCTTTTTTTGCGAGTTTGACGCTTTTTTTCTCTAGGGGCCAAGCAGGCATCTGCCAACATGACAGCAACAGTTACCTTCGGTACATCAGATTCGCGGCCAGAAAGGCCGGCCAAGGGTACTCTTGGTCAGCTTGAGGGTAATAACCGTTGCTCAGCTTGGTTTGCAGAGAAACTCGAAGGACAACGGCAATGGTTTGCCCACCCCCCCCGAATTTGGCACATGCTCCAAATGGGGTAGACTCAAACATGGGTGGTGTCCCCCTCGGTTTCCCTTTACAGCCAACCTTACAGGGGTTTCCAAAAAAAACACAGGTTCGGTCGCTGGAAGGCAGTTGCGAACACCGCTTGGAGGTACGATTTCCCGTAATTTCCCAGTGAAGTGGGGATTTAAAGAGGCTCCGGCAACAACCCTCATGTGGGTAAAAGCAAGCTGCTTCCATCTTTTGAGGGTGGTTGGAAGCCACTGATGGGCGCTGGGTCCAGGGTAAGCAGGGCCAGGGGGGGGGTTGTGGATTCCTGCAGGCTCTTGCAAACACAAAGGCCGGGGAGGGCCAGGCGACAAGTGTCCTTAAATATCCCTCGTTGGGTGCTTTTGGTCAACGGAGCTTCCCTGCTGAAGGGTGAGATATTGACAAAGAACATGCAAGAAAACCGTAAATCGGTTCTCCGGTGTAAGGCCAGGTGGCCCGTTTTGCTCTGCAGCTTGAGATTTTGGACGTGGGCTCAGTGACCAGTCACTTCATCTTCAAACATCCCATCAGCATTCTCATTTGATTCTTTGGCCTACATCTCACCACCTCGCCTTTGTGAAATGGTGGTTCCCCTGTTTGCTGCCTACTGTGGTGCTTGAACTTGTGTAAGTGCAGCACTTGGAATGGAATTAGGGCGAGCCCCCGCCCCAGCATAGATCCCCCCTGTTTTGTTTCCCCTTTTCCCTTAAGATCTTACTTGGAAACCAATGGTTTCCAGGGGGAGGTGGGCATGGGGATGGGCCAAGGCACAGAAACTCCTCTTGGGAAAGAAAGCCATCGCCGTCGGCATCTGCGACGCGAAACGCCGGGGCCAAGCCCAACATCTGCTTGGAGCCCTTTGCAGCGATCACGAACTCGGTCCGTGAGATCTCGCCGTCTCCGTTTGAGTCGATGGTGGAGAAGATGTCCTCACTTGAAAGGGCCTGGATGTAAGTTCATCTTTGCGGAAATTGGACCTTGTTGAACTCGCGTAGCCTTGCTAGTTGCTATCCTGTTGGCACCAAAACCCATCACAATGCACGACTAGCAGAACCAACACTTCAAGGTCGATTTGGATTTGCCTACAAATTAGGGAGCCGCCAAATGGATCCAAATGGTTGGTTTCGTTTCGAGTGCCAGGACGTTCCTACCAAAAACTTGTAAGTTTCCAGGTAGCTTCCCTTTCAATTCAACCAAACATGGGCTCCTCCCTTCAGAAATACCCGGCTCTGGGGTTGTCACGTTCCCAAAAAAAAGCCCAGCTCGTCTGAAAGCCTGGCCCGGACTGATCGACCCCACAGCTTTCAGTTGGGGAGGAGGAAGGAATCGCCATTGGCCCACGCCAAATCCAAAGGTGCCGTCAAACCAACCAAAACCCCTCAAAGCAATAAATCACAACCAGAAACAAATCCACCAGCCCAAAAAAATCAAAGGTTTCAACCCCCTCCAACCTCCAACCCCCCTTTCAAACCCAACAAAAGCCACAACCCCTCTTTTAAAGCCAAACAAAAGCGGCAAAGCCTCCCCCCCCTTCACTTCCCAAGCGTCTGCCAACGAGCCCTGGCTGGCCGGAGAGCTTCGCAGGGCCCCGGCAAGGAACTCGCTCCTCTCTCAACCGTGTCAACCGATCAGACTCCGATCGGCTGGGAGCCTCCCGCTTTAAAACCAAACTTGGTTAGAAACATGGGCCAACGGGAAACAACGAAAGGGAAACTTGGCAACTTTGGGAGAAACTTGGCAACTTGGAAACAAAAGGGAAACAACGAAAAGGTGGTAGCAGCTTTGGAGAAATCATGCTTCGCTCGCCTCCCTCTTTAACATGCGTAGCCCGTGATTATCGGTTACCTATCGATAGCCTCCTACGTTGGAGGTTAGACGGTCAAAACAGGAAACAACAGGAAACAAAAAAACGGAAACAACAGAAGGTCGAAACATGGGCCAAGAAGGATGCAAACAGGAAACAAGAAGGTCAGCAGGTCGATTCGATGGCACCTGAGAAATTTGGATCCAAGTTCTGGGTAGTCAAAGCAAGTCCAGCCGCGAGGCTTGGGGCACCTGAATACTGCTCAGGAGCGTCGAAAGGCTAGGTCCTCCAGTAGAGAGCTTAGAATAAGGGTACCAACGTTTTCTCTGAAATCTCTCTATTTTAGGTGGGGGAACCCTCCCCCAAAAAAGAAACGGCAAAAGTTGGCACCTGGCTGGACCTAGTTGTTCTCAGGCCCATGTGGAAACCAAAGTGCGAATGGTCCAAACCCTGGCTCGTGGGGAGGTTCTCCCTGGCTCCTGGAAAGGCTGTCGTCGTAGTTCTTGTCCAGGGAGTCAAAGGTCTGCTCGATCACCACACCATCCGTATCACCCGGATCCTTGGCCAGACCGAATTTGCGAAAAGGTGAGAGGTATGTTAAAAAAGGTTTGCTGGTTGCAAGCGAAGATGAAGAAACCCCACAAATGGAAAAACACCAACTGCAGAAACAAAACAAGGTCGGCGAGTCAGCCGGGGTTGACGGACCCATTAAAAATCAAAAAACAAATCCTGATTTGAAAAAAAAATACCTGCTGGCCTCCTGGAGCCAAATCCATGCAAAAGGGTTACTAGAGTCTCGCCATGGATCTTTGACTTCGAAGTCCAGGTGCTGATGCAGTGTCTGGTTGATCTCCTAGCTCCAATCCGCACCAATCAAGCTGACTGCGTCAGACCTGGGTTTTGGATGGCTTTTGGCTTAGCCACTTGTTCGGGGCGTAAATAGCTATTCCCAAAGGTGGATACATCCCCCATGCCTCCAAATGTGGTCAACAATGATTCCAGTGTTCAACAATGATTTTAGCCACCCAGAAAAGCTCGCACATACGTCTGCCTTCTGGAATAAGGAGAACTACAGCTCTCCGGCGATGTCTCCTCTGGTGTGAGGCCACTATCAGCATGCACGTGCCGGAACACACCAGCAGGATCAGGCAGCTGTTCCAGCTGAAGCATCACCGGGTTGACACCTGGCAACGAGCTCTTTGTTGCCTTCAGACCTGTGGCATCGGTGGCCCTCTGGGTGCTAGGCATCCCTTTTTGCCGGGCTTCAGGGGAAGTTGAAGATTCTGGATTTAGCACTCGGTCCTCCATTTGCTTCAGCCCCCTGGAAAAAATAGAAGTATTTCCAGTAGTGATAGATTCCCTTTAAAACCAAGAAGGGGAAAATGAAAACTATTCGCAAGAAAATGGAAGCAGCTCAACATGCCTCTTCGTGGGGCACAATCATACATCACAGCTGGATGATCTCAGTTTGCCCGGCACGCGTCAACATGCCGGCAAGCCTTTCCGGGGGAGGCTTGAAGCGATCAGGAAATCTATCATGTCCATCCCAGTGAAACTAAGTCCCTCCGCAGGCAACTCAAAGATTCTGTCTCGGAAAAATAACTTAACAGGCAAGCCTGAAATTGGTGATGTGCTTTCACAGCCGCGGATCGGCTGGAAACAAGTTCATTGCTGCCGCTGGTTGAAATGAAACCAAATCTTGCTTGTTCCTGGGGAATATGGGAATGAACCTCTCAGCCAATTCCTAGGTACAGGGTCTGTCCCAAGTTCTCTGAGAACAAGCCAGACATGGTAAAAGCACCCTGGTTTCCCCGAGGCCTCGTAGATGAGTAGCCAGCCCACATGGCCAGCAGGCCAACCAAGTAAGCCACATGGGCCAACCTGGCGGGTTCTAGCTTTGCACAAGCGGATGTTCAAACCCGACTGGGTGTGTGTTTTCGGGGTGGCCAGTTCAAACAGGTTTAAAGGGACCCGTTTTGGGGGCCCCGTATTTTGACTCGTACCCAAATCGAGGTGAGCAACCTTTGTGGCCTGAGGGGGGGATTGGGAAAGCGTCGGTCGGAGAGACAAGTTGGTGGAAGCTTTGAAGTAGGCCCGGGAAACAAATGAGAGCAACATATGAATACATGTATCTATGTGGGCAACTTGTTGGGGAACAATGCGAGGTAAATCACGGACAACTTTGGGGTAAATCACGGATAACTTTGGAGTAAATCTCGATACGGGAAGTCGGCTGATGTTTGGACATGTTGGATATGCCGCCCCATATGTTCGTACCTCATGTTAATGGCTTAATGCTGCCCCAAATTTGGGAAATGCTGCTGTTGAAACAAGGCAAGTTTTGGGGCTGACCATTCTCTAGAGGGAGAAGGGAACTCACCAAGCAAATGTGCTTTGGAGGACGGAATCCACTGCCCAAAAAAAACAATACGTCGACCTGCTTCGAAAATGAGATCATTCGCAGGCCGCATCACCAACGTCCAAACTACGTGTTGTGGGGCCTCTAGGCTGGTCCAAGCCCAAAAGGTAGAGAGTGCAGGAAGTGAGTGGCCTCCATATTTCGCAACCTGAACGGGCCTCCCAAACGCCACTTCCGGCAAGCCCGCGCCACTTTGGCCCGGATCTCGAGCCGGGCCTGAGAGGTTGCACGCACAAACATTTCCGAACCTTTGATATAGTGGGATCCTGCGCACCTTCACAAGGAACCAATCACTGGGTTCAGCGGTTCTTTTGCTTTTCTTTTTTTGGGTGACCCAAACTCATGTCAAGATGACCTGACCCATTTCACATAATGGTTCCAAAGGTGATGAAACTCGAGGCAGCTGAATTGACAGGTCAACTACACCCGGCGCCGCAGCACAATCAAATTTCAAACGGATTGCGCGTGTCGTGGACCCAAGCCCCCCCACCAAACACGTGTGTTGGCTCTGGTCCATACTTAGCAAACCTCAGAACGCACAAGAGATCCCAGGAAAGATGCGTCTTGCAATGGCTGGGCATTGCGTGTCCGCCTTGCACAAATATTCCGTTCATTCGGCCTCCTTTCAACCAGCAGCAAAGTACTTCGGGCAAGGGATATGGGTTCCATTTTGTCTCTCCTAAAAAGAGGAAATGCTGAAACCCACCACCACAGCGGCTGCATAAGCATCAGCATGTTTCAGCCTTGGATCCTGGAAAATGGGCCCCTTCCTCTGGTGTGACATAGGGGGTCTGGAAAGCTCAAGCAAACACCCTTCCCTTTTGATTTCCTGTGAAGCAAGAACAGTTGACATTTGGCACGCCACAGAGTACCAATACCCATCCTGGGTTTCCTTCGCCAAAAACTACGAATCATACTATTTGCCATCCAGTGGCCATGGGAAAAAGGGCACCCTTTTTGGGTTGGTTCCGCCACATTGCTCAAGACCCCACCCCCCTAATTGGAGTGAGTGGAGCCCACATCGCCGGTTGGTTGACTTTAAAGGGGAGCCCCTCCAAAAAAAAAGGAAAGGGGCACCGCTGGACAACTGGGTCCAGACCTGAGGCCCAATGTCTCGGTCTCAGTGCTGCGCCACTACACTTGAGCGGAGCCCCACCTAAGCATCGAGCCAAGGAACCTGCTGAAGCTGGAGCATCTCAGGGACCGACTACGTGCCAAGGTACCCACGAATTACACCACTTCGTTCACCGGCATATACACCGATAAATAGACACTATAGATGTGTTTTGTTGATATATATTGACACACCGTTTGCGGCTGTTGTGCGCAAACATACGTAGTTTTCACTCTTTTGCAAAGCCATGGGCACACGACTTGGGGGAACGTAGCTGCACCCTTAGAGAGAATCTGCGTGTAAATCGCAGTTGCAGGAGTCACCCACGCTGGAGGCGAGGCACTTGTATGAACCAGGTTAGCGATATTCAACACTTGGATATTGATTTTCGAGTCCCGAGCTTTTGCAGGGATTCCTGTGAGATGGTGTTATTGTTTT